CCCAACCTCCATCAACAAGCAGCTGAGGAGGAAAGGCCCCGGCGGCGCGCACAGCGCCCTGGTCTCCGAGCTCAAGCTCAAGTTTGAGAAGAGGAACGCGGCCCTCGGGGACCAGCACATCTAGGAGACGTGGCCAGCAGCGGCTGCGCGGGAGTGTGTGTGTACTGTGGTCTTCCCCATTTCATCCAACACCCAACGAGCAGCGAGTGGCTCCTCGCCGTGATGACCGCCCTTCACCTTGTGCATGTACTGCGTGTCATGGTCCCACCATGGCCAATGCTACAACCTGCGCCCTGTCATGACTGCAGTTCTTGCAGGTTGTGTGTCCTCCCCGTGTCTGTCACCGGGGCCCTAACTACTGGGGTTTCACACAGAGCATCCCAAAGTGACCGGTGGTTTAGGTTGCCTCTGTTTAGCAGCCCTGGTTTTTGGACAGTGGTGCCCTGCAGCCAGGATGCTTCCTGGTGACAGATTTCACCTGGTCCAGCCCAGGGATTTGAGGTGCCTGAAAACCGATCACTTCCAGTGACCACCCTGCTGGCCTGACAGTGGCGAGAGAATCAGGGCCATGCAGGGGTTCCCCTCAGAATGGACACGCTTCTTTGTGCATTAATAGCTCGTTGGCGGGTTGCTCGTATCAGTTGTCCTAGATGCACTGGGTTCTACGCAACAGCCAGCAGGGCCACATGCTCGTGACTGCAGCCCCCACAATCCTGGAGGTGAGATGGCGCTGAGAAATCTCTTGTTCCCTGCAGCTTTAGCTGGATTTTTGTTTTGTATGTTGACATGATGCTCTCCGCTTTGACACCAAAATAAGGGAGTAGAAGGGCCACCCCGGTCCTTTACAGCCCAACTGGGGCAGGATGAAAGCGTGGAAATTCAGCAACGGCGCTTGTGTGATGCTGCCTCCTTCCCACACCGCAGCCCTAACGAGGGGGAGGCCAGCGGGAGAGAGGCATGATTAAAGCAGCAGGGAAGGCGAGGTAAAGCTGCGAGAAAAAGTGGTAAGTGAAAAATACAGACAAGTGCTGCAGACTCGCATATGTTGGTTGGGGAAGTGTCTGGGAGGATTATTTGTTTTTGAACACTCCTGGCAGGAGGTGCTGGGAAGGTATTTCATCACCTCTCCTGCCTTGCTCCAGGGACTGGCGAGTACAAGATGAGATTTCCTTAAAATATTCTAGCTTGTCTTCTCAACATTTCTGGCTGAATGACACAAGAGTTAAGAAGGGGGTGGATTCTCACAGACCAGTTTTTCCCTGTTATGTGACAGTAAGAAGGTGCTGGAGGCAGAGTGTCCTTCTTGCAGGGTCTGCTCCACAGTCGTGCACAGTCGCGTTCATTTCTGGGGACATCTCCCGGGCTGGGAGGGCCTTCTAGACACTTGGGCATGCTGCAGAAGGGAGGGGGGCTAAAACATCAGCTTGTTTTTTGGCTGGAAAGTGGAAGCAAGGAGGGGGGGCCACCAGGGCTCTTCTTGAGCTGCCTCTCGCTGTCGTCTCAGCCAGAGCAGCAGCTCCCCGCAGGCCTCTGGCCTTGCAGCCAGGCCACGCGCACCCTGCCCCTGCCCGCGCCCGGCGGCCGTCGGAGCAGCCTCCTCGCGGCCTGTCCCGCGCTGCTCGCCTGGAGGCTCGTGGCGCTCCCGGTGCCCTCACACCATCCCTGCGCGCCGCAGTTGCCTCCGGCAGATGCAGGAGTTAGGAACAGGCCGTGGCACACCAGCCGATGTCATCCTTTCCCCTTAAGGTGTATATTACATATGTGCTTATCAAGCCTGGCCTCCCTTCATTTGCACTGTGACTTCATCAGCTTAGGGGGCAACTGGTTGCGCTGTGGAGCTATGATTTTTGGAGGGTGTCCTGGACCAGCTTCCCTCAGTTTACGACTGCACAGGGGACTTCTGTGTGCGAGGACGCAGGCACCTATAAAATTCGTCCTTACAGACATTTTGAACAGCGCATGGTGCCCTCATGGGGCTGAAGGGGAGCAGTTCCCTGCCCGCGGTGAGGGCGTCGCGGCGCGCGAGGCCTCGCTGGATGTTCCTGGTCGCGCGGCCGCAGCTGGTGGAGCGCTGGTCTGCGCCGACGAGCAGCTCCTGCTGCTGCCCCGTCCCTCCTCTCTGCTGGGAGTTGGCAGCTGTCCCTGGCAGCCCAGCACCGAGTCCCCCTCCTCGGACCGACCAGTGCAGGCACCTGCGGTGACGCTGCCCGTCCTTCGCCCAAGCACCTTCCCGCCGCTGGTTGTGTCCAAACCGTTTTGTACCATGTTCCCTGAGGAACCAAAAGGTTGTTGTTAATCTGTGCTACTGTTTTCCTGGTGTTGTATCAAAGCCAGTATTTAATGTTCACTCTCAAGTGAGGAAAGCCTATAAGGACTGGTCAATTAGGTGAGATTTAGGAGGAATTATAGGCTTAGAGTCTTAGAGATATATTTAAGAGGGAATAAAGATGTTTTATTCCTATGTTGTCAGACCTTTTTCCAGTTACTCTGTGTTTCAACTTTGCTTTATTTTTTAAATAAATAATAATTTAAAAATCTGTAAAAGTTGCTTGTGCTCATAGTGTGTTTCTGCTGTCAGTGATGACCTTCTGGTTGCTTTAAACAGGTGGGAGCCCTGGGCAGCCCCAGGGCGGGAAAGAAGGGAACAAAAACCTTATCTTGAGATGGCGATTTACATTTGCATGTACAAATTACAATTATATGTGTGATACGGATCTATTTTTTGCACTGCTAATGCTCTCCGGGCCTGTCGTTTACCATCTCCTGCCTTTCAGCGCACGATCGTCGTCGTGGGGATGCGACGGCCGAGGCGTGACCAGGTCGGCGGCTGCAGGCCGGGGTGTGGGGCTCGCCCTGCCCCTGTGCTCGCCCTGCCTGCGAGGAGGCCTGACCCGGCTTCCTCATTGAAACTGTCAACTCTGAGATCAGGGTCTGCAGTGTAAGGGGGCCACTGAATTTTTTACATTTTTCTAAGTTGTTCTGTTGCAACTGGAGAGGCTAACCTGCTTAAAGTGGGCTTACTTTTTTTTAAGAAGGTTTTATTTAATTGACTTTATTAAAATTTACCCAGCAAATACAGTTTCTAATGAGTCAGCTTTATGATTTTTTAAAAAATTTTTAGCTTGCGTTTGTGCCTACAGAGGCAAGGAGGTGCTATGTGGTGGGGTTGCAGCAGCGCAGACGCCCGCACACGGACGACCGGCGCTGGCTCCTCTGCAGCCCCTGGGAGCCGACGCGGACGGTGATGCAGTTGGGGCACGTGGAGCCCGTCCGTGCTGCGCCGAGCGCAGCGCAGTGCGGCGCCCGGGGATGCCCCTGCTGAGCCCTGCCAGGCCAGCGCACACAAACCGCTATGGTCGGGCTGCTGGGCAATTCTGAACTGCACAAGGCGAGAAATAAAGGAGCAGCTGCATATTCTGAAAATCAGTCGTTTATTATTTTAGCACTAAGAATAACAAGACTGCAGATTCCTGCAGAGAGCAGCAGTGAAGGTCAGCACTGACAAAACACGTGGCTTGGTGAGAGCTGTGCAGAAAGGTCGGGACACAGGGTGCGTGGGGAAGGAGACACAGGCCTCGAGAGACAGCAAAAAATAAATAAGGACGTCTAATGTCACCAAACACACCTAGCAAGCCAGACTGCCACAAAGCAAAACCTCGTGTTAGGCTTCATCTCTTCCTAAAGCTGAGGCGTCACCTACTCAGGCTACTTGTCGGTGCCTGCAGCAGCACCCGGTGCCCAGGATGTGCGGCCCTCGGCCTCCTGCTTTGGTCACGCTGCAACGCGAGAGGCCGAGAGCGCAAGCTGCCCGGGGAGCAGGGCGGCTGCTTGCACAGGGGTTAGCTTTTAATTCCTGATTTTGTTTTTTCTAGAGAGAAAGAGATTCTTTTACTCAGTGACCATGAGTTTAAAAAAAAAAAACATGCACACACACACACGAACACACGCACACATATGTATGGAGCAGTCACTGTGAAACTGTGCACGCCACAAAATGTGCTTTGAAATATTCTTACCTACTGAAAAATATTTTTTATGATCTGCATAACCTTGAAAAATATTTTGCAGCCGTAAATGGTAGGGGACTGCTTAAACATGACAAAGGAGCCCTGTCGCTGTCCCACTGAGGACGTGAGCCGGAGGGACAGGCGCTGTGGTGCCGTGGCCGGCCGGGCTAGTAGAGGTCAGCGCTGTTCCTGGCGCCCGGCCGGGCCTTGCCAGGGCGCTCGGTCTCCTCTCGGGGCCGCTTGCCGGAGCCGGGGCGGCAGAGCCCCTCCTCCCTCCCGCC